GGTCCCGTGAGATGGCCGGCCAGCTCCTGCGCCGCCCGGCACCGGTACAGGAACTCGTCGAACCGCGTGGTGTTGCTGGCCCAGCGCAGCGCCGCCGCTGGCAGCGCTCCGGCACCCGGCGGCTCCTGTTCAAAGCTCATGATTCCGTGCACGACCTGGCATGGGTCGCGGCGGCGGTCTGAGTCGGCGACCCGCGGTCGGGCCACGTGCTGCCGCAGGGCTGAGGCAGAAGCTCCCTCAGCGCCGGCAGGGGTGCCGGCTGGTGTCCTCAGAAATGAGTTCAGTCAGACTCCGCGGCGAAGCGTCGCGAGTTCTTCCCGCTCCGAAGTGGTCCAGTGAGGGGCATGCGTGCCATCTAGGCAGCTGCATGGCTTGGTCACAGTCACGGCTTGAGCGCCTGGCTCGGCCCGGCCCACAGTACCGCCGGCCTCCCGCAGTCGGGGCTCAGATCCCCGCGCTGCGAGTGACAGCCGTCTTGATGTTACGCGGTGCCCGTCCCGGCATGGCTCCTCCCCGGATCCGAGTACGGCGCCTCTGCTGAGCGGGACGAGCCTCGCCGGAGCCGAGCGGGGCGCCGCCGGCCGGCCCTGCCGCCACGCCGCCGGTCTGCCACTGCTCCGGCGCCGGCCGACGAGCGGCTGTGCCTGCCCCGCCGCCACAGCTGGTGGCCGCGCCGCCGCCGCCAGCCCGGCCCAGTGACGGCCGACGACCGTCCCGTCCCGTCCCGTCCCGTCCCGTCCCGTCCCGTCCCGTCCCGTCCCGACCCGTTCTGCTGCGGTCCGTCGAACGACTGCGGTTCGTTGTCGGCGTCTGCGGTACGCGTCTCCAGCTGCTCGATGCCGGCGTCTGCGGTGCGCGTCTCCAGTTGCTCGGTGTCGGGCTATTCAGTGTCGGCGTCAGCGGTATGGGTTTCCAGCTGTAAAGTGTCGGCGTCAGCGGTACGCGTCTCCAGCTGGTCGGTATCGGCATCAGCGGTACGCGTCTCCAGCTGTTCAGTATCGGCGTCAGCGGTGTGGGTCTCCAGCCGCTGAGGGTCAGCGGTATAGCTGACGCCGAAGAGCTGCGGAGCGGTACAGCTGCGATTCGCACAGGCGGCGCGTCGCTGTCTGGTGCGGTTTGCTGTCGGAGCTAAGCTGTGTGGGCGTCGGCAGATGCCACCGAAACGGCCACCTGAAGCTGACGCACGCGCTTCTGGTGATCGCATTGGCATTCCACTGCCAGCACTCTTCGAACCCGTGCTACGTTGCTGTTTGCTGTACGGGGTCTCAAAGGAAGGGAGGAGGGGTCAATGACACGGTGAAACACAGCTTTAAAAAGTTGCTTTGACGCATTCCGTTAGATGTATGCGGCAGGTGTGCACGTGCCGTGTTTGTCACGTGCCAGAAGCGTACTAAGAACAAGTGGAGGAGAAGTTGCACTGAGTTGTCATTGAGGGCCCAAATCAAATGTACATGGAACATGGAACATGGAATGTATCACTGGCGTTGGTCACCGAGTACGAAAAGCACCTTCCGAAAACTGTATACATTATCCAAAGAGCAAAAGCTCGCGTGACATGATATTTACCCTTTGTGTGTGTGTGTTTGTGTGTGTGTGTGTGTGTCATTGGGGCTTTACGACGCACTCAGCTGCTAAGGCTATATGGCGTCGCCTGCCTCTCACCCTGCAGGACGAGCGGACACCGCGGGGAATCGAACCCCGTACCTCTGGTTTTCCAGACGCGCAGTGGTTAACGCAGACGCGTTAACCACTTAACTACCGGCACCTCACGATCTTTACCGATATTTCTGAGGTGCGCCACTTTTGCCAGCCATCTGCAGCTGTTCTTTCTGCTGCGCCGCGTCGTGGCCATGGGAGTATGCTGTAGTCTGAACTCGCACGATTATTTTATGTACAGCTTAATATAAGTATTAAATACCTTAAGCCTCTGGTTTTCGGCATTACGAGCTGCCGGTCATATTCTGACATTCAGTCGTGACCATAAGCCAGTTTGAAACGTCGAGCTTTGTATATACAGCAATTGCCTGCTTGATGATTTTCATTTAGGTAGCACCCCTTCGTACGCGTAAGGACGATTATTGTTAATAATATCTCCCAATCAGGGGTGTGGTTTCCTATTCAGCTCGGGGTTCACCAATCCAGTTGGTTTCCTATCCAGTCGGAGGAGTTTCAGCCCCCCCCCCCCCCCCCCGCCGCCACCACAACTTTGGCCCCAGCCCCCACGCTAGGAAAGTGTGCGGCAAAACGGGTAAGAAATCCGTTTGTTGGTCTTTTTGGGAGAAGCCTTTATCATTTTTTAGTCCCAAGTCATTTTGCGAAACTACGCGTCCATTCCCAGCTGATAATTTTATCAGCAATAAGGACTTAATGCAATACGTTACATGGAACCCTGTGTGTTCAGACTTTGCAGAACGCAGCTCCGGCTTTTCCTTTGTTAATGTCTTGCGACTAATGTTGCATGGTCACTGCTCTCGCACGGTCCACTCATGGGCTTGGGCCGCACATTGCCAGCCATTCATCATTCCAGTACGTCTGTTGTTCATTCATGAAACACCTGTCACGCCCCGATTCAAGTCATTGCAGCTTCGCTGTCGCCACAAAAACAACAACGTGTCGCATGGCTCATCGTGGTTACGCTACGCACATTCCTTTCCTTACAATGCTAAGATTGTTCTAGCGTGGCATCCGCGCTCGGAGTCTGGCAGTTGGGCTGTTGATTCATTTTAGAAGACCTTTCGGACCAGTCTTGTACGCGAAACCGACTGGATGGGGGGGGGGGGGGTGGAGAGGGGGGGGGGGGCTCGCCAAGCCCATTCCTTTCGCCATTTTCCAGTGTTTTAGGGAGGTGCGTCAATATGTGTTTGCACTCATGCGATGGAGGGATTCCGGCATTCAGATATCAAAAATGTGAGGAGGCTTTATAGCTGAATCAGCAGCCGAAGAGGTCGAACAAAGTTCGTAGTAGGACCCAGGCTAAGACAGGAGTGAGGAGAAAATATCGGTAATCAGAGGCTAGCTATTTAACTCCCAGTTGGTCCTTGCCCACTCGCTAGCATGGGTGCGAGTGCGTCCTGCCTGATCTCAGAGCCCCTGGCTTGGCCCGGGCGTGTGGCACGCGACTGTCGCGATACCAGCTGGCGGCAATTACAGCGAGTGCACTGCCGCTCCGCCGCCCTCGCCCTCCCGAGCCGGGCGCCCCTGTCTCCAAGCTGCTGGCTCCGTCCGCCCTCAGTTGCCGGGGGTTGCCGACCTCCACCTCCCGCGCTCTGGCTTGGGAAGGCCGCTCGTGATGAGGGGATGTGGTTCAGGTGTTACAAGTATTGTTGTCAGTTTTCTTGTTTGCGTCGACTGCAGGATGAAATGTTTGCGTGAATCATACCCTTCTCACACAAGTGGCGTGTCCCTGCGGCGAATTGTCGAACGGCGCGGGCCTCCTGTCGAGCGGAAACGAAGGGTCGATGAAACCGCAGCAGCTGTGATCTTTGTTGCATTTCAGACAGATGTTTTGCATAATTTTTTCGGCGTTTTCAATGCTGTTTTCAACCGCGTCACTTCGCATCGTTAGTTCTTCGTTGCGTCCTTCTACGGAGGTGGAGTCGCCACCAGCGAGACGCCTCTAGCGTAAGCGAACGAATTATTCGTCACTTCGCGTCTGTCGAACCGTGCATTGCTGCCGAAGTGACACCGGTCGACCCCCTTCCCGTCGCCCTGCACCGAGGTCACCATGTGTTACGTCAGCGAGTAAGCGGCTGCGCTCGCTTCTCTGTTTGGGCTCTCCCATCTCGCGTGTGACCCCTCGCCACTCAGGCCTGCTGCCACCGCGGTGTATCTTTTCATGCCATCCGCGAGTCTTTCCTCGCGCTGGGACCACAGAAGCCGTATGTTTGTATATCGTCTATATGTATTTATTTAGTGTTCATATTTGTCTATCGTCACTCGGCATCTTTTCGTTTTCTTGGAAGGTGGTCTCAGTCGTGCCTTTGCATAAGTTGGGACGTTTTGAGGACGTTAATAACTTAAAACCCATTTACGTTTTTTACATCTTACCAGGCCTGTCTAAGCTTCGTGAATAATCGTATGTAACCGTAATGTAGCCATCTTACCCCCTCGACCCGTAAGATCTCAGCTCACGTTTTCCCCCTATCTTGTGCTGCCTCTCACTCTGGAGGGGGGGGGGAGGTCACCGCATGCCATTTCTGTAGAAGTCGCTAAACTTGGCGCCAGGGTGGCGATCTGGAGCACGCCTGCCCGGGGACGTGGGGTAGAGATGGCGTCTCGCCGCTCCTGGAGGCGCTGGATCGCCGTGACGTGGCTGACCGGGTCACTCGTCGCGGCTGCAGCGGCGTGTTCAGGGCTCAGCGTAAGCCCTGCACCCCTGCGGAGATCTGGTCGCTGTTCACCGCTCGCGCCGCTGTGAAAGGGCCACGCGGTCGGCTGTGACGGGGCTCGGGGCTGCCCGCCTTCCGGCTGGCAGTGGCGCGCCGGTCGTTCTCATCCCACGCGGTGGCGTCCTGGGGCCGCGTACCGCCGGCCATGGCCGCCTTTCGGAGCCGAGCAGTCTTTTTGTCGGTAGTTGGCAAGCGTCCTTGACTACGCCAGCTTTTGCGCGGAGTGTTCGTCGTGTTCTCGCGCGTTTATGTCACTCGCTTATCATTATCCGTGTTTTACCCTGTCACGTGTCATATCGAGCCATAATGTGACTCGAATTCCACAAGAACCCACGAGCGTGGAATGAGTCGTGAATATATGTGAGCTGAATTGCGAACTGAACGATACAGCGCGGGAAGTAGTGACATGCTCCTGTTTTCAATGAAAAGTATTGCAAGTCACAAACGCTGCGGCTGGCCGTGTCGCAGCTTCGCGTTTCCCATACGGTTTCATCCGGTAGCCGTTGGCGCAGAGTATTGTGATCTGCGTATACCGTAGCAAAACGTGACGTGACGTGATGTGACGTGACATGATGTGACCTGAACTGATGTGACCTGACTTGATCTGGTCAGGTGCTGGTGGACGCCCCCTGCTTCTCTGACCGGCACTCGCTGTTGGAGGACGACAACAACATCTTCGCCATCAGCCGCTCCCGCGAGCGCATCCAGATCCCGCTGCTGCAGACCAACCTGCTGAGGTGCGATCTCGAGGTGGGGGGCACGGTCTAACAGGGTGGGACTGTGACCAGTCACAGCGCAGTGCGGGTCTACCCAGGTGTGTGCGGGCGGCGCTGAAGGAGGCGGTTGGGAAAAGGTGCAGATGATATGAATATACTTACGCTTTATGAAGAAACCGTACTCGCTGTGGCCCAGCTGGGAATGCAGGCAGGAAAGGGACCCGGCAATACCAGCGTTGTGCACACTGCTTTCTGTGCGTGTTCATGGCTTTCATTACTGGGGAGATTTGGATGTATGAATGTACAGTGGCGACGTCACGTGTTGAGTCTGTTAAGGCGTTAGAGCTTTTGGAAAAGCGTATTACCGGAAGCCAGTCCTGGGTGGACAGAATCGAACACATTAACTCCGTATAGTTCACTTTTCAGGCGTAACAAGCTCATGCCTCACCGTGGGTGAGCGGATGCATTCGCCGTTCTGTTTTGACTCACCGTCCCATGGCAATGGCAGACCGATGCGCCCACTTGGAGCTTCTGTCTCTGCCTCGTGCGGTGTCCTGACCTCGGACCATTGCAGGCGCGCACTCGAGGCGGTACGACCGGGCGGTACGGTGGTGTACTCCACGTGTACCCTGTCGCCGATACAGAACGACGGCGTGGTGCACATGGCGCTCAAGCAGATCTGGGAGGACACGGACATCCAGGTGGTGGTCAAAGACATGGAGGACTCCATGAAGCCCTTCTATGGCACCATGTGGTTCGCCCGCGGCGTGGGAATCAAGTATGGGCAGCAGGTGCTGCCATCTGTGGTGAACAACTTTGGTCCGATGTACTTTGCGAAGATTGTCAGATTGAAATAGATGCTAGTTGTTGGAAAGTTTGTAATATAATGCATATGCCGACTGTTTTGCAGCGTTGTAAAATGGGCAGTGTTCAGGCACTTCCCGTCCGTGAAGTATTGTGAAAGCAGCCGGAAACGAAAACCTGCCGCCATGCTGGGGAAGAATTCTAAAACGATAGAGGCAGCATTGGAATGCCACTCTTTGCAGTTGTTTGAATCGCGTGTTTCATCTAAAACCATACATAACATGGGTGTCACGGATCGGCGTCGAGTACATGATGATGAATCACTACAAAAAAGCTCATGGGTAAATGTCCTTACAGCTACATACAAATCCAGATACACAAGTAGAAAAGCAACAAAAACACTGTTGAAGTGAGTGAAATATGCTAAACACATGTCAATGTGAAACCGGTACAGGGATAGGAATCCAAAAGAGCATCAACCACAACCACACCGTCCTCAGATCTCCACTCAGCTGGCTACGTCTCTCACGGCGGCTTCAGGGCAGACCCCCCGCAGCGAGTGCCGTGTCTTGCTGGCGCCAACCGGTGGCAAGCAAGCGGTGCGTGAGCCTCATATTAAGTTATGAGTAGTCATGTTCATGCTATAGATACACAGGCAAGCCCTTTCTCTAAACTGCAGGCCATTCGTGCGCGGACATGGTCCAGCCGTCGTCATACACGACACGTCATCTTGCGGTTCATCCTTTGTGCGTCATAATGGCACGCGGGGTGCACTTTTCAGTCCGCTCTTCGGATGCGTGTAGGCTTGAGGCGCGCGTTACATGGCGTTCCAACAGGAGCGATAGCTAGTGCATTCGGCGGTGTAAGCGGCATGCCGGACCCAAAGCAGGTCACGAAGCCGTCGGTACCGAACGCGGAGTTCGCCGGCCTCCAGCGCGCCCCTTCAAACGGTGTTGTCATCAGTTCGGCGGCGACAAAGTCCAGTCGGCGGGCGGGCGCACCCAATGCCCGGGCACAAAGGTCGGCGTGTGTGGGCCAGGGGCGCGGTCAGCGCGCACTGGGCGGCGGTACGTGTCCGATGCGCATCGTATCACGCTTTGTGAGGGATGGCAGCTCTCGCTTAGCATAACCCCAGTACAGGTGGTACTCGTCTATCGTACCGCGCGTGTCGGGTGCGGCGGTACCCGCGTAGCATACCGGTGAGGATGGGCACCTCGTTCTGCGGCAGTGTTACTGTCGACAGCATCTGTCGCCAGTGACAGTGCGTGTTTGGAGGATACGGTGTCCTGGATCCGCCACTGTGCCCCCCACACTGACAGCTGGCGTTACAGACTGCCCAGTGTAGCGACGTCGTGCGGATAGGGGTGGCGCACGCCTGCGACTGAACACGTCTGTCACTGCAGCACTGGACTAGATTTGTGAGTCTTGTGACTTTTCATCGCTGGGTAAACCTTGGCAACCGTGCAGCCGTGACGTTTCTGCTCGGTTGCTGACGTTTGGGTCTGTAAGCTGTTTGGGTCGCATTCCGTTCGTGATCTGTTGTCTTTGTACTAATTGCGCTTTGAGTGGTATGATATGGGACTTTTTCAAAACACATTTGCATGGATGCATTATTAGTTTTGTCCGCTTTCTACGCGGAACTTATAGACTACATGATGAAGTTCGGAAACAGTGGAGTTGAGGGAGACGTAGTCTTTGTCCTGTAGGATACCTTAAATTTTCCGGCGACAGTGACTAGCATGGGGATAAAGAAGAGCAAAATAATTTTGTGCTGAATGACGGCATGCAATTGATGCCTTAAAACGAAACGGTTCCGGACGAAACGAGCTGCACTCGCGTTAGTCACCGCCTCACATAAAACCCAACGTAGTGGTTGCCTGGGTGTCCCGTCTCGCTGAAACTACTACGTGTCACTCGGTGCGATAGCCAAATCGTGGAATGTTTTACTTCAAAACTCAACATTTCGGTCTCCGCAGTTGCCTTGAATCATGTAAAAATCATCGTAGGGAATCATCTTCAGAAAGATTCATACTTTTAAAGATATTTCAGTAAATCGGAATTGTGTGCTAGATTTGGCAGCAGTTACGGTGAATCTGCCACCATTCCCTGGCGACGAATGTCCCGCAACGGAGCCGTTTGTCAGGAACCCCATCGCGATGAAAACATGTTTACTATTCCGGGCACGGGCAAATTGGTGCCAAAATTGGCAAGCCTCCTTGCATACCTGCGGGAGGGAGTGATCAGCAGGCTAGGTAATGGGCAGAACCTAATATTCTTGAATGACGATGTTTTAAGAGATTTTTGGTATTTGGTCTCATACTGGAGTCATTAAGTACTTCGTCAGTGCTTCGCCTGTGCTGCAGTATGCACCTGGAAGGTTGTAGCGTCGCGATTGTGGAACGTATCTTGGTGTTCTGTTCATGTGTGAGACACGCAAGTCCACTTTTTGTTACATCGACATTTGCAAGAACACGTGGTGTTAGTGAGCGGTTGTTAGTGTGGTGTGGAATCAAGGGTGCCAATGTACTGAGCAGCATTTAAAATTTTCATCACATCAACATTGAAGCATTGCATGATGGGCTTGTTACTGACACCAGCCCTTAAGTCATGAATCTTTGCCATAAGCACAGCAGGCTTTCTAGCATAGTCATGACTCAAGCAATTCAAAGTTGATTTGCTTCCTTGCCTGCAGCATGGCTTAATCTATGATCACATTTTTCAATTTACCATTTTGCTAAAATTGTAATGTCTGCAGTAATGATTTATGTGACATGTGAGAGATCCCTAGTGCTGTGGACTCTAAGAAGTTAACTGGCGATATCTGTAACATCAAACATCATCATGCCCTTAGCATTATGCAATTTTTTTTCCCTTTCTTTGTTTCTTTTTTGTAATTTTGCAGTATGTTATGGAAAACAGCAGTGCTGCAATGTAAGAAGGCCAACATACTCATGGAGAATGCTCTTAAGTTGTTTTTCTCTGCAGTATAGCTGTGTGTTATGCTCTTCATTATAGCTGTTTTGAAGAGGAAACTGTGACCGTGAGTGTCTATCATTTCCAAAAGGTGGTCCACAATATATTATCATTTGGGACACTTGGTACCCAAGAAAGGTTGATAGATTGTTGGCTAGGTGCAAATTGATATGATTCCATGATTTGTTTTTCAGCCTTTTTTGCATACAAAAGGAAGTGACAATGATTTACCTGGTGACACCAATCTTTCGGCTCTTCGTCCTCGCGCTGGACATCCTGGAGTTCCTTTGGGGAGCCTACTGGGATGTTGTATGGACATTTTTGTACCTTGTGTTTGACAAACCTATGAAGAGCATTTGTGGCAAAACAGTACTGGTAAGTATCCCATAATAATGTTATGAGTGAGGCAGCATTCTGAGTGTCCTGTGTGCACTATGTGAAAATTGGCTGAGTCATGCTGGGTTGTCATGCTTTCTAGAAGTGGACATCTTTGCACTATTAATCAGAGGTTCATGGACTTTTCAACAGCAGGTGACTGTTTGTAAAGGTGTGCTATACAAATCATTGGGCTTTTACATGCAAAATGTTGGAGCAAGCAGCTGCTCTTGTGGCATTATGACCTCGTCATAATATAATCTTGCCTCTCATGATGGAGAGACATGAAAAAGGTAAATGTTCAGATTTGGTTCAGTTGGAGAACATGAGTTTAAGTCAGGTCTACATCTGGATGAAAAAGCTCACAAATACTGAAGACTAACAGATTCCACCAAGGGAAGAATTGTGTAACAAACCAGCTGTAATGGGCAGATTCTCAAGCAATGTTTTGGTTTGACACAACTTCAGTTCATATCTGCCAGTATTTTTGGAACCTGTGATAACAATGTTTGTGGTTAATCATGTACACTGTAACCTCACTTAGTAATGTGCCATGCTGGTGTTTCAGATCACTGGGGCAGCTAATGGCGTTGGCAGAGCATTGGCGTTTGCGTTTGCTAAGCAGGGATGCAATGTCATCTGTTGGGATGTTGAAGAGGTATTGGTCTTTGCCAGTTTATGCCGTACTACGAGCATGTTATCACCATTCACCACCTCTCATTTTTGCATCTAATTTGAATCTGCTGAGCTTGAGTGCACTTACAAAGTCACTCTTGATTATACTGGTGTCGTACGTGTGCTGTGGGTTTGCTAGTGGTGCTATCGTGGTGGCTGGTGATCATGACTGCGACACAGCTGATACTAGCATTTGCAATGGGTTAGACAAGCTGTGATAGTCCATCTGGCCAGCTGTGGGGACTGCAACATTTCCTGTGAGAAACATGGTTTAGTACCACCACCGAATGGGTGCATAAATGTGCTGGGTGTAGCCCAAGTGGACGTGATGCAGGCTTCCTTCAGAAGATGTAGGGTCAGTGTACATCAGAGTGGGTGCCTAGCGGTACCCACCGCCGCCAGCGGCTGGCTGGCGCCGACGGCTGTAACCGTAACGGGCGCGACGACTGGCTGCGTCAGGCTGGGAACCAGGCGACGGCCGAGGAGGTGCAGAAGGCCTACGAACAGGTGCGGTCGGCGGCCTACTGCGTGGACGTCAGCGACCGAGAGCAGGTGGAGAGGGCGGCCAACAAGGTCAGTCACCGACCGGGCGCGGCCGATGGCTCCTGCACTGCCGCCTCCCCGTCCGGTCTGTCCCCTCCCCCCCCCCCCCCCCCCCGGCACCGTGCCGGAACCTGCTTGCTCGTGGTATTCGTTGCAAAGCTGCAGATGTTCGTGGTGCTCTTCTGTGTGCAGATGTAAACAGGCTGAGGGTGTTCGCGACGTCCTGAGCTCACGTGTGTGAGATGCTTTGCTGTTGTTGTTTTGGTGGTTTTGGCGGTCCGTTACGGTCTGTTGTGGTCTGTCTGAGCCGCGTCTGTCTTCAGTCTGCGGCCATGACCGGTGCTCGCCGTGACATTATTGGTCGGCGGGAGCGTTTATTGTTTGATCACACGTCCGCTGTTGTAGGTACGAGAAGACTTCAGCTTCGTCGACATTTTGGTGAACAACGCCGGCATCATGCCGGCAAAGCAGTTTCTATGTCACACGCCAGAGGAGATCAAGAGGATTTTCAATGTCAACGTTTTCTCCCAGTACTGGGTATGAAGCACTAGATCTAGTGCGTCAGCTGGGAGTAGATGCCTTTATAAGGTGTCGTCAATGTGCATTTTCGGATTTGGTTGGGACTTGTATTACGATGTACGTGCGGATTGTGCGTGGTGTAAGGCCAAAGGGTTGGCCTTGGTTTAGGGTAAAATAATTGTACTTGGTGTAAAATGCAGTTCACGCGCCTATTGTTTTAGTTACTTCGTTCTCTGTTTGCCTCAGGTGTGACATTATGTATTCACACCAGGCAAGTGGAGGGGGCTTAGAACCCTGGCAAAAATTGAGGAATAAAGGCCTGAAGAATCACAAACGTTTGTGTTGCACGATTAGGCTACATTTGTTTCATTTGTTTCGCGTTTGTCGAGCGTAGTACCCTGTGGCTGCCAAGGAGCGAACTTCTACTCCTTGACGTCACTTAGGCCATGTCCCGTGCTAAACATCCTTGCATCTTAGCCTTTATGCCCATCTCGAACGTAACCCCATCCTTGATCACAGAATCCACCGATCACCATAGCGACAAATGCAAGAAAAGCCGCTTGCTTGTGGATGCACTCAAGGTACACCATGATACAGATGCGACGACGTCCGTCTAACGTAGCCGTGTGGCTGGGTTGCAGACGCTCCGCGCCCTGCTACCGGACATGCAGCGCGCCGGCCGGGGAACGGTGATCAGCATCTCCTCCAACTGCGGCCTGATGGGCTCGCCCAACCTGGTGCCCTACTGCGCCTCCAAACATGCTGTCAGAGGTCAGTGAACTGCGGGTCCGCCAGCGGGAGCGACGCCCGGCCTGGCGCCCTGCTGCGCCTTAAAACATGTTTGGCCGGACGCATCATGAAGTCTGCTTTGCAAGCTGTGCTGGATGTCCGCGCATACTCTGACAGAGGGATTGACTGTGACTCGGTCGGAGTTGATTGGACGGAGGCGAGGTCCTGCACGATCCGGGACAGTGCCGACCGCGGACTTCTTCACGCAGGGCTCATGGAGGCGCTGACCGAAGAAGGGCGCCATCTGAGCAAGAAGCGCCAGCCGCCGGTGCACTACCTGACCGTGTTCCCGTTCATCATCAACACGCGCCTGGCCAAGTACCCGCGAGTCAGGTCAGCTTCAGCGCCCGGCCGCCAGGTGGCGCTGGTTGTCCGGTGCCTCGTCGTCCAAGACGGAGCGCGGTCGGCGTCGAGTGATGTACTCTAACCCGTTGGTCGTTATGGCGCTGTGACGAGTCTGGGTGGCGGTGGTTACTTTCGTGTAACTCGTCATGTTACGGCGCCGGTATCGCGTATCTCGTCCTGCCACATTACCTGAAATGACCTGATGCGCTTCAGAAAGCTGTGTTTTCTTTTCTTTTTCCGTTTCCTCTCTTTTTCTCACTTATTTTTCTGTCAGTTGCAAGGTTGTCACTGATGGCAATTCTCCTCATAATTCTCACAAGCTGCTAAATGTCTGTAGCTGTTACCTTCACAGCACTTGTTTACTGCTGTCCCCGAAGCCGGCTCATCGTCGTCCGCACCTGCAGGTTCCCGTGGCTGACGCCGGTGCTGACGCCGGAGTATGTGGCCGCGGAGACTGTGAAGGCGCTCATGGAGGGGGAAGAGGTGCTGTTCTTCCCCAAGTGGATGTACCCGTTCTTCCTGTTCAGTCGGTGAGGCTCGCGGGCGGCTGGGCACGGTGCTGACTGGACCGGCGGTGGGACCAGTGGTGGGACGGTGGGAGTGGCGGTGGGACCTTTGGTGGGTAGTTAGTTATTGAGTTTTAAGGGCGCGACAACTGCATTGGCTATTTGCGCCCGGACCAGTGGTAGGATGGTGGAACCGGCGGTGGGACCAGTGGTGGGACAGTGGGACTGGCGATGATACCAGAGGTGGGACAGCGGGACTGGCGGTGAGACCAGAGGTCGGACAGTGGGACCGGCGATGGGACCAGAGGTGGGACAGTGGGACTGGCGATGAGACCAGAGATGGGACAGTGGAACCGGCGGTGGGAACAGTGGTGGGACCAGCGGTGGGGACAGTGGGACCAGTGTTGGGACAGTGGGACTGGCGATGAGACAGAGGTGGGACAGCGGGACTGGCGGTGTGATCGGTGATAGGACAGCGGGACTAGCGGTGGGACGGTGGGGCCGGTGGTGGGGCAGTCAGCAAAGTCACCTGAAGTGACGGAGACGCGCCAAGAACAGGGCAGATGGCGCTGAGCTGTGAGGGGAATGCCGGCAGGAAATGTCGCGGAAAGCTTCGTGGCGCAGTAGTTTGTCAGTGTGCTTGTTGTCGTCGGGGATGTCCTGAAAACCCTGGCTGGTAGGGTTGACGTGGCTTTGCATGGTAGCACGGAAATGGTGAACATAACGTTGGTGACACGACCGTGCTCTCTCTGTGAGGGGCGTCATGGTGCCGTCACCTAGCGCTATACCCTCCTATCAAAACGGTCACTCAAACAGCAGGACTGGATAGGCCAGGCCCGTGTGAGACCAGCCCGGACCTGGACCGGCGCTACGATGGTGACTGTGCCCTTAAGCCTGCCACGGATCGCCCGTGGGAAGTTCATGAAATAACTTCGTGGGGCCGACAGTGGGGCTCGTTTGGGATTGCGCTAAAGCGATGTTTGGTTTTGCGCCTGCCCCATGGTATGGTGCGGTATGCTCCTCCACCTGTGCTCAGTCTAAGCCGCGATTTGGCAGCTTTGCGTCATTTGGCAGCTCGGCTTTGCGTCAGTGGCGCGATCGGCAGTGGATTGTGACTCGGGTCGGGAGATCCCAGTACATCGCCCCTGGATTGTCGTCATTTTACTGCCGTTGGTCGCTGTAACGCGTAACGTAATGTGACCTACTGTACCTAGTAGCTGGCCTGGCTAGATCCTGTACCGGCTCCGGCATTGTGTGTCCCGCCGGTTGTTTAATCTAACCTCGTCTGATCATGCGTCTCCCCGAAATAAGTCCTGCCGTACGTATGACCTGACCTTGACCTCGTACCCTCCAGCGGCATGTGTCCCACCACTTAAATGACCTGACCTTGACCTCGTGCCCTCCAGGAGGATGTGTCCCACCACTTATATGACCTGATCTCGATGTCGTGCCCTCCAGCAGGATGTGTCCCGTCACGTGCATGCCCTGACCTTGACCTCGTGCTCTCCAGCAGGGCGTGTCCCACCTCTTATATGACCTGACCTTGACCTCGTGCCCTCCGGGAGGATGTGTTCCACCACTTATATGACCTGATCTCGACCTCGTACCCTCCAGCAGGATGTGTCCCACCACTTATTTGACCTGATCTCGACCTCGTGCTCTCCAGCAGAGTGTGTCCCACCACTTGCATGCCCCGACCTTGGCCTCGTGTCCTCCAGCAGGGTGTGTCCCGCCGCTTGCATGACCCGACCTCGTTTGACCCGTACTTCTCCGACAGCGTTCTTGTCTCAGTGTGGCAGTGTGCCGTCGTCTGTATGACCTGACCTTGTCTGACCCGTCCGAGTGTACCGTCACCTGTATGGCCTGACCTTGTCTGACCCGTCCGAGTGTACCGTCACCCGTGTGACCTGACCCTGTCTGACCCGCCCGTCCCCGGCAGGATCTGGCCCCGCCGCACGCAGCAGCGCTTCTACGACCTCTTGGATACGGGCTTGGACGAGAACCAGTTCGACGTGGCCGACCAGATGCGCCACTTCAACGCGCACTGAGCTTCACCGTCCCTGACGAGGGTGTGGGGCTCGCCAGGGACGCCCCCGAGTCCCTCTCCGAAGCCACCCAGAGCACATTGACGTCTGGACCACCAACAGTACACTGCACAGCCTCCTGTGTGGCATTCACAGCTGATTTGGTGGCCACGCTAGCCGTTGGGTAGCTTCAAAATCACCGTGGCTTACGTGGCCCCTTTGGTGGCTTGTGCAGCCCTTTTTGTGGCTTTGACATAGCGCTTGGTTGGTGCCTTCGTGCGGACACGGTTGGGTCAGTGCGCCGACCGTGGAGGGCAGTTTGTGCTTCCGGAGGATCACCGTATGTAGCTGCCTCTCTGCGTCGCAGGAGGCTTAGCTTTAATATTGTGTGTTGTTTGGCTGAAATACTCCAGAAGCTTCCGTACTCAAAGCTCAGTGATGTCTTTGGATGTTTAACCCAAGTAACGTCAGCGGTGAAAGCGGTATTTAACGAAACATGGCCGGTGTTTTAGGGCACTATGCTGTCAACTTACTCAGGCAGTGCAGATGCGTCAGGTACTTACGCACCGAAATACTCACGGGCCCTTTGGCCAGTTGTGCAAGATGTCGGTTTAGTGGCCGGAAGGCAGTCCATGTTATGAGTCGGCGGTGCTCGTTGTGTTCAGTGCGGTCGTGATCGGTGGCAGTATGATAGCCAATCACCGACCACGCTTGTGCTCACATGTCTCCCGCCCTCTCCCATTGGTGGTAAGCTCCGCCGTTGCTCATCGGACGGCTCGCTCCTCCCCGATGGAAGACTCCGTCCGTTTCGAAGCCTTTGGGACGCTGCGCGCCAGTCCGTCTGGGCGGAGCGTGGCCGCGGTGGACGGCAGTCCAGTCTGTCGAGGCAGCCAAGTCGGTCGACTCTGGTTGTGGTCTCTAACGGTTGATGGCTGCTGTTTGCAGCGGGGGTGTTATCTTGTGCTCATGTGGTTGTCGTACGGGTTTGTGGTGTCGATGCGTGAGACGGGTCTGGGCGGTTATGTATTGTAACTTATGAAATCGGGTGTCGTATTACTAGCCTGAGACTGTGTCAAGACTTAAAAGCACCCTGCGCGGGCTTCGCATTCCACAATGGTGGTTGTTTTATATGGGCGCTGCTGATGTACCAACGGACTGCTGTCTGACGTGCTCTGCAATACATGTCCACTTTTTGATAGCGGTGTATGGCACATCTCGCGAGGTAAACTGTGCATTCGATGCTGTGTTTGATGCCGGGATACACACGACGGTCAATGACAGCCATTAGCGAATACATTTTAGTGTGCAAACACGATCAACTGGACCAACCGACCAACCGACGAAAGCGACGTCCATAAACTGCATCGTGGGAATATAAAGCACTGGGGAGAGACCTAGCACCTCAAGAGGGTGGAGACATACACGCACGGCCCCGCACCATTGACCCTACCCTCGAGCGGCCTTGGGCCGCGGCACGGCTGAGGTCGGCCACTAACAGCCTCCTGTCCCCGGCCGCAGCGACAGGGGTGCAGACTGACTTGCGGAACATGAGAATGCGTCAGCTGGCGTCGAAGCGAGTGCGCGTTTTCCTTAACGATAAGACCTGTTGGCTGTGCGATCTTATCGTCGACCTGCTATCTTTGTGAAATTTGCCGGTGTCCGTGCTGGCAGTGCACCGCACAGCGGTCATGCGGGACCCTGGAGCGCCTAGGGCGGCGGGCGTTGTTGGTCTGACTACGTGGATTATGTATTATTACGTCGCGGGGGCTGCCCAGGGACTGGAGCGAGTGTCGGCCCCTGATCCGGCCGGATGGTTGGGTTTTGGGGAGTTCTGCACAGCTATGAGTTTGTCCAAATCCCTCTGGTCCACAGGAGCTGATCTGGAGCTGAAGCTGAGCTGGCCTGGTTCGCTGGCCGCACGCCGACCAGCTTCATCGTGACCCTTTTAACGGAGCAGGACCCACTCCGGCTCCGGTTCTCTCTGCATGGGTGCGCGTGTGCGCGTGCGTTTGCTCTCCTCTCTCTCTCTCCCTCTCTCTCTCTCTCTCTTCCTCCCTCTGCCTCTCTCTTCCTCTCTTTCCCTCGCCATGATGTCTCCGTGGTCACAGATTGCATCTCAGTTTCGCACTCTGAGCAGGCAACGCACTCCTACAATACTGCAAAATCACCACTATTTCACCCACCCATTTGAATCTCCTGGGAAGCGAAACTGGCAGACGCAAAAAAGCCACAGTTTCCATTTTCCAGCATTGCCATTTTGCACGTATGTGCGCGCGCGTCAAACAACGGTGTACACCTGCCGCCAAAGTTGGTTGGAGACGATGTTGCAATGCACAAGCAGACCTTACCCGCACAAAATGCCAGAAGCACCACTTCCGTCGCTTGCACTTTCGATAACGGCTATACATGATATATGCATGAGTAATGTTTACTTTTGTCACCGCTTCGCTAGAAACCCATCCCCAAAAAACACCTCACTGATGTTTGATGGCCCACAGACCGAGTGATCATTTTGCGCTTCCTCTGTAACCCCTCTCTCTTACCTCGAACTTAAGAAATATTGGTCAGGCCAGTTCGCAAAGCTCATTTTCTTTTACCTTACCATGCCTGGACTCATCGTCAGGAAGCATTTTCGGCAATTAATGACTGGATCGACATCAAGTGGCGGTGTTAATTTATTAAACTTTACCACGTGCACAGTTACACCCTATGCAAATGTTAACAATGTATGAAATTACGAAATAATGTCCTATACAAGGCATGTAAAGCACAAGGACGGCACCATGTTTCACTCCATAGTGTATCATAGCCAAAGCACAATGGGAGCTATATGACAGGCATTTCATACGCTTAAAGTCGCGATCAGCTCCTGTGACCGGGGTATGTGCGACGCGTTCCAGATCCACAGCATTCACATTTACCCCCCACAGTTCTTGGGCTACGCTTAACACCGCACCGTATACATGCACTGGGCGAAAGTATCATCACTCTCATGCAGCCGTGGCATCCCAAGACTCAGCCATGCTCTTCTGTTAGGGTATCGCGCACTATCTCCCGTGCGCGGCCATTCCAGTGACGCACACATCCGACGGCTGACGGGCGCCCTGCGGCTGGTCGCCCCTGGAGGCCGCCGCCGCCCAGCAGCCCACTTGGAAGCTCGATAGAGTGACTGGCAAGGCACGTGCCTCATCTTGAAGAGCAGGCCGACCGGCATTGCACACATGTACGGCTCGACATTGAATACGAAATGTGTTAAATGAGGGAACTGCCAGGCCTCGTGTCGGCTGCCGCGGAAAACATTTAGGTGTGGACATAGCACGGGCTGGGGTAGACTATACATGGATATACAGGTGATCAGACGCTGCGATCTTGGGCCGCATCCGTGGAGCGGTCTGGAGCATGCGTCGTGACCTAAACGATGTCGTTAACTAAAAACGCCACCACGACCGACGCAACACTACAGGACGAACGCAAACGACAACCTCGGCGGACATGCGCCCGCGCTCCTGGTTCGGCGTGTTCGGGTGCGTCCGAGCGAGCGCCGCACAGCCAGGACGGAGTGAAGAGACCGCCCGGACGGAGTAAGAGACGGAGTGAATGGCCCACTGAAGCGACCGACGCCCGATCTGACCGACGCTCACACCGCGTCACATCCCGGTCTGTCGTCACCAGGCGCAGGCCAGGCGCCGCCATGCAGCACGGCACAGCAGCTGGTGCTCCACCCGGCCCTCAGGACATCCAAGCTGCCGACTGTTCACCATCGCCTTCGCTGTAACCGCGCGTCCGTAGTCCACGTGCGACGCGCACCCGCGCGGTGAGGGAGGAACCGGACCGGCCTCATCACTGAGGCAGGCTGCGGCGCGGCCCGCAATGCCCTCGCCTCGTTGGTCATGCCTCACTCGGCCCCGGTCCGAGAGCCGGATCGCGCTGGACGGGCCTCTTTCGGCTCCTCGTGGGCCGCCGGGATGGCCGCGACGTGCTCCGGCCCGCCGCCCCGCCCCGACTCACACCGACACCTCAGGCGCCTCCTCGTCGCGCTCGATGTTGGTGTACTGGCGTGCGCGCTTCACGTTCTGGATCGCCGTCTGCAGCTGCGGCTGGATGCTCTTGGCCCGGCGCACCAGCCGGTGCCGCTGCATGTAGATGACCACCGAGAGCAGCACGCACATGGCGAAGACGAGCACGCCGAGCACCAACGAAGCGGAGGACGTGCGCGCCACGGGAGCCGGCGACGCACGATCACACTCCATGTGCTTCAGCTGCATCACCGGCACGTCCCTGTTGGAGGCGGGCTTGCCGTCGAAGCAGCGGTAGCTCTCGTGGTACAGCGCGCGCGTCTCCGTCATCAGCAGCCAGCGGTAGAACGGCTTAATTTTGCAATCGCAGAAGAACGGGTTGCCGACGAGCTTGACAGCGAAGTTGGCGTTGCGCGCTGTCAGCTTGTCCAGCAGCGCCGTGGCGTTGGAATCAAGTCGAAGGATCGAGTTGTACTCGAGGTCCACGTACGCAAGCCGCTGCAGGCAGAGCAGGTCCAGGTCGATGTCAGTCAACCGGTTGCTGCCCAGGTAGAGATGCTCCAGGGACGGCAGAGTGCAGAAGATCTTGGGGTCACGCACACCCCGGAGCTCGTTCTGCTCGAGGTGCAGCTTCTTCAGCCGGGTTAGCATGCTGGTCTTGAAGATGATCTCCAGGCTGGACATGTACCAGTCGGAGTCAACATTCTCTGTGAAGGCGTTGGTCAGATGCAGCGACTCCAAGCTGATAAGGTTGCTGAAGACGCGCGGGTGGTGCTTGCTGTCGACGATGTACAGACTGTTGTGGTTCAGGATCAGCGTCTTCACGAAGGAGACCCGGTGAAACGCCTGCCCATCGATTTCCTTGATGCCGTTATTGCTCATGTCGATGGTTTCCATGTCCTCAAAGTTCCACTCTGTTCCAAACAGGTTGGGCGGCAGAATGTCCAGGAAGTTTCCAGTGAAGATAAGCACCTCGGTGTTGTCGGGAAGCGCATTCAACACAGACACGTTGGTGAATCCCGTGTTGGTGCAGTTGACCACATACTTCTCCGCCTTCTGGTACATAGCCATGGCGCAGCGGCACCGGCCCCCAAACGGCACCGGACACCCCGTAGAGTCCACTTTGTAGATGTCATCGTCAATGTAATCATCATCGTCGTCTACATCCTCCTCATCATTTCCGGGCAGTGGAATGGAGCTGTGAGAAGCATGGGTGATGCTGTTTGTCCCTCGCCCTTCGCCCTTCGAGGTCAGTAGGTGGTTTTTAAGGTAGCTCTTACTCGTCCTTGCCTTCGAGAAGCCTCCCAGTCCTCCATCAATCATCAGACACAGCACCAGGATCACCAGGCCCTTCATGGTGCTCCACTCCTAAAAAATAATGAATCGTGTTAGATGTGACACAATGATCCTGGCAACATGGTGAAGAGGAGGGAGGGGAAAGGGGGGGCACGTACTCTTGGTCATCCACTGGTCCCCTGGGGGTCCACCTGAAACGGGCCCGCGATCTTTTGTTAAGCAGTGATGCACCACAAGCGTGGAAAGGAAGGGGAGCACACGGGAATGGATCATGCCCCTAACTCCCGTGGAAGTTAACCAATGTCTCTGCGGTGAGGCATGAAACTAGCCGGGCCCAAAAAGGAGTTCAGCTTTTCCGCAGTTTGCGGCATTTCTCCGCCTCCGCGTGGTACTGGACCAGCCATGTCATCATCGATGCGGCCAGGGGACTGACCCCGCGACTGCAACTCTCGGGGCACTTTATGAGGAAGGTTCGTCGGGTCCGTGTCGGTCCGTCGCTGCTGGCTCGCGCTGGGCCTCCACCGCGTGGTCAGCACATCGTCCACGAACAAACGTCGTCAGTTCACACCTCGCAGCGCGGTTGGCACCTGCGTACTGCCGTCTCGATGTGGACGGGGCAGGGGCGGACGGGGGAGGGGAAGCAAGTGAGCGCTTCAGCTTGCATGCAAACAGTAGGCAGGCTAGAGGCACACAATTTGAACGATTTCAGACGTCTCGCGATCCCAATACGCTCTCACTGACTCCCAAGACGTGCCGGGCGTCTCACTCCGAGAACTTCTGGTTGCGTGCGCATGCGCATGCGCTCCGATGCGTGTGCATTACGTCTGTGTGCGTATGTACGCGCGCGCTGGTCCGACAACACCCCATTGTTGCATCCGACCACTCCCAGCATCTACTCAGACTCCGTAACCTCCACATCGGCAGCAAGAGAGCCCGGCGTGCGGTCCTAGAGGCTACACCGACAGCTCCGTCCCCGGCCTGGCGCCGGTCAGACGTCACAGGGCGGGCCCTCCCTGTGACCGGTGGCGTGCCTGGGCCGGCGAACAACGCCCCGGTGCGTGGCCCCACGTCACGCCCATCGACGCCGGCCGGAGGGGCGCGGCTGCACCGGCGGAGAGGCTCTCTGCGCAGCCGCAGCGCACCTCTCCGCGCGCAGCACCGCTGTGGGTACGCTCCACTCTGCCGCGGCAACGCTGTGGGGACGCTCCACTCCGCACACAGCACTGTTGTGGGGCACTCCACTTCCGCACACAGCACCGTTGTGGGACGCTCCACTCCGCACACAGCGCCGCTGTGGGACGCTCCACTCCGCACACAGCACCGCTGTGGGGCACTCCACTCCACATATAGCACCGTTGTGGGACGCTCCACTCCGCACGCGGGTCTCTCCAAAGATGAGGCGTACGGACCGATGGAACTCTGGCCACAGATGCACAGCACCACCCTGCTGTGCAACTCTACACGGACTCTTCGGCTACACACACACACACACACACTTGGACTTCGGAAGGCCCGAAGACAGGGCTTTATAGTTTCAGCACGCCTCCGCCGCGCTGCAGCGAGTAGGCGTTCGCTTCGGCGAGCTGCAGTGATTTCCTGTGTGCATACCCTTCCCCCGGCTCCACCGAGCCTCTGACATAGCTGTTGGGCTAAAGCGAAAGCCTGTACCCCCCCCCCCCCCCCCCCCCCCCACCTAACTGCAGCGAGTCACGTGCACATCCCCGCGAGCCCGCAGCGAGCCCGGTGCACATCCCCAACAGACCACAGCGAGCCCCGAGCACATCTCCGCCAGGCCGCAGCGAGCCCCGTGAACATCCCCGCCAGACCACAGTGAAACCCGTGCACATCTCCGCCAGGCCGCAGCGAGCCCCGTGTACATCTCCGCCAGACTGCAGCGAGCCTCTGCACATCCCCGCCGGGCTGCAGCACACCTCTGCGCGTCCCCGCCAGACCGCAGCCAGCCTCTGCGCATCCCCGCTGGGCTGCAGCTCGCCCCGTGCACACTGGGGTGCAGCACGGCCGCTGGAGAACCGCGCAACACAGCCGGAGCGGCCGTTGTTTGGTCAGCACGTTCACCGGATGCTGGCTGCTGGGGGACGTGGAGGTCACGCCCAGGCACGCCTCACGCGCGGACCGTGCCGATCAGAACCGCGCCAGAGCCGCGCGGACCGCGGGGACCGCCGGGGTCACGGAGACCGACGTTGTCGTCACGTGTGGGACTGCCGACCGCGCGCGTTCTCGTCAGAGTCTTTCCGTCACGATTCCGTGAGACGCATCCCGTTAAGCGTGGCTGACAACGGACAACGTTTCAAGGCCTCCCACTGACTTGCAGATGCCGGCAGACGAAAGGAGCGAGACACCCACCGTGGCTGTGAGCGATTTATGCGTCGTGTCCCCTTCCCGACCACGGCTTCTCACGTGCACATGAACGTGCACATGATCACAGAGACGCGTACGAATGCGGCCTGCCAGTACGAAGTCAGCCTGGAGTCAGTGGGGGCGGGGCCCCTGCAGGCAGCGAGCTATGAGACAGGCATCAGTGGTCGTGTCGACACCGGGCCATGAGTCCATACGCTGTGATACACTATGCAGGTGCTAGACGACACCCAAGTGCCACAAATATGGTAAGCAGAGCTGCTGAAGATGCCAGTTACAGGGCTCACCAACGCATTATTGATTCCGTGAAGGCCAATTCGGGCAGGGAAACCCGACAGGGTGACGTCTGCTTGGTCAGATAAGCACGGGGATACGGGTTTTCCACACCTGGCTCTCCGCTTTCCTCAATCTGTGCATTATCTTAAAGTCTCTCGTATTGCACTTACAATTCTGAAGCCCTTCGTGAACACCCCGTTGAACACGCGCCCACGTCATGGCTGCCGAACAGCACAGCACGCACGGGGAGGTTCACCGCCATCCGAACGAGGCACGCACCACTCAGGGGCGAACAGTAACCCGAAACTACCTTTGCGGGCAGTTTCCCGACTGGGTGTGCTGCACAAAGAACTGGTGGGCGACACAAAAACCGGCAGTGGCGTCGTGCTGCAAGCAGCAGCTGACGATCGCAACCAAAAGCGCGGCGATGTGCATAATTTCGAGCCACTAACAACGTGACACAAAAAATTCGCCACCTCGAGCATAATCAAGCACATGCGTCCTTCGACGCGCACGAAAAGCACGGGTCCTCCGCTCTTACGTCACTCGTCTGGAAAAGCGACCATAGCTGGGACACTCGGCCCATCACGAAAGCCGTGATAGGGCCACAGCGGCCACAATCAAGAGACATCGAGACGGTCTCTTTCTCAGCGGCCTCGCCACGCTGGGTGATCAGCTCACCTGTGTTCGGACACCAGGCGTCAGTGGAGACACGGCCAATCCCAGTCGCATGCTTGCGGGCGGGGTGCCGGGTCCGTCTGGCGGCGCTGCGCCGTCACACCTGCGCGGCGACCAACTCCGCCGCAGCCAGGGGCCTGTGCAGGACACCGATGCTGAATCTGAACTCGAGGTCAGTAGGGGTGGGTGCAGGTTCCAGAAATGGCACCAAAGACAAAGCAGGAGAGTGATGCTGGCCTGGGTCGCGCCGGATGGACAAAATCGGGCGCTCCCTTGGGAAGAAATGAGTCACAGCCCGCTGCCTTGGCGGCCAACCACCAGTCAGCGACTGCACCTGGAATTCAGGGGCGGAACCAGGCAGCGAACCTGGGGGTTGGCTTGCGGTAAATCGAATTACAGTATGCCAATAATGTTTTTGATTATGGGATCGCTTATGGAGTCATAGGCCCGTCAGTCATCAAGGCATCACAAGTCATCAAGCAGTGGCGTCAAGGAAACAAATATGAGCCACTAACAAAGGCCACGTCCTCGGGAAAATGATGTCAGGTGCGATGTGTGGTGAGGCGATGCGATGGGGCGATGCTTTTCGATAGCTACCGACTATCTGACTTAATTGGATACGAAGTACGATGATCGCTAATGCGGTTTTGACGTCTAATCACCCCGCATTGAATGGATCTCTTCGGAGTCAGTGTCATTGTGAAGTCCTCTAGAACCTATTGGAAGCTTTTATGGGTCCCAATTTAGACACTAGCGACAATATTAAGTGGCGGATCGAAGATCGTAGATGCATTATGAATCCTAGAGTGTCCTGGAACTTCTTCAACCAATGGCAAACTACATCTCCCTACTTACGGTATTGTAAACCTGCCCCAAATCAGATCGCAGTTATCGAACTGGATGAACTTGCAATAGCCACCAACCATACAAGTGCACACCATTTAGAGAAGCTCGGACCAATCCTGACTTAGAGTGATCACGTCACCTTTTATCCAATAATTCAATTATTTCCGAGCGTATGCCTGTAGGTCCGTCTGTCTAAATTTTATTGACGGCTACATAGACTGCAGTAAAGTTTGCAATGCATAACAAGACGAAAAGAAATGTTCTGCATGTAAAGATTTTGAGGCAAGTATCAGAGGCGACAAACTAAGCTCACCTGTAACTACTTGAATGCTTTCAGTGCAAAAAAACTGCACTAGAGAACAAACTTTCAGTGTGTAGTAAATATGTTCCTCGTTACGTCATCGCCTGATTGCATCATGGGACGTTTGCATGACGTCACAGTGGCTGCCAAACTGGCCGTGGCAAACGTCCACTGTAGTGGACGGGTTGAGTCACTTATAGAACTTAAGCTTGTCGAGAGGTGTCGTACTAAATCGGTGCATTGTTCACATATTCGAATATCTTTATGTACATGTGTTTTGGTCCTGTCTAGGGGTGTTCTTGACACATGCTCGGTTATGCGACGGTTCTAAGAGCGTTCTCGATTCCCAGTCTTACTTCCGTCATAACTAGTACTACTGACCAGCTTCCTGTATTACGTAGCGCAAAACGTTACTCGTGTTCGAAACTCGCGCTGAACGCACTACAGTCGTTGAAAACTAACTGAAGTGCGATAGTGTCAGAAATCGTGCTGGCGTACGCCAAACACTTATAACTCGATGATTGTATTGTGCTGGTCTTAAGCAACACATGTCAAATGAGGTGGCAATACCCCCTGACGTCTCTATGGCGTCGTACAGACGTTGTTGGCCTTGAAATAGTCCGCACGGAGTAGTCTGCACAAGTTTGCAGGTGTCAAGCTCGGAAATCAGAGGTTTCAAGTCTTAAGAAGGACGGGCCTGGGAATTGCACCAAATGATTCTCAAAATGGCTATCTCAGCTCAAAATCCCATACAAATGTGAAATACTCTCTTCAACCCTAGTGACGATCCAAAACACAAATTCACGCACGTCTGATGTCAGCGCCGGTCAGAGCGTGTGCGAGAGGAGGGGGAATTTTGGCATTTAGCAGGGAAACACCTTTCGTCTGAGTAGGAGAAACAAAATACGTAAGGCACAGCTGTGGCTGATTAAGTAACCATGATAAGGACTGTGCGATTGGGTTACGTTACTCTGGGATTCAGAATCCGTGGCTGTGGCCCAACGAACCATGACCAAGCTGTTGAAAACGTGCCGCATAGCTGGAGCACCAACGAATGATGAATAAAGTGTCCTCAAACGCAGAGGATTACAAATTGGCGCAAGCAGTGTATGCTTACAAAAACTAATCAGGATGGACTGTGTATGTCTAGAATTCACATCACATGACGTGACTAGAGTCGGAGCCATAAAGCGGGGGCGACGGCACCGTCAGGGACGTCCGGGACGCGTCCTCCACCGCTTTCAGAACGCGTAGGACTGGCCCTCGCAGCCTTAGGGAGGCTCTTAATTGCCGAACACGTTAACACGCGTTCTATTGAGATGAGTAAAAGCACAGCATATCGCAGTGAGCGCTATACTCATTTTACATGATTATTGTCACGCAGTGGAAATATCGAACCGGATACACTGTGCGTGAATCCTCTCGACTAGGCAGCTCCTCACACTGTGAACGCCATGTTCAACGGTCACCACTATTGTTGCTCAGCGCGATTCCCGCGCTTTTCGGCAGCTGTTTCATGGGGGTGGAACATTGCACGTCATTGCGGAGGTCATGGCCACCCCATTGTCGAGCAGCCCTCTCAAAATGTTGGGTTGGCCTCGTCATGTGGAATTTGACCCCGATGATTTAATGTTTTTCTGAGTTGAACTAATGGGAACTCAGGTAATTTCATAAGGCAATTTTATAAGGCAATTTCATAAAAGTCAGGCTGCTGCTTAGTTTTCTATTAGTTGTTCATTTGAGACATAAGCATTCCAGAGGAAAAAGCCCAATTACGGGAGCATCCGAGTTTTAAATACAATAAAAATACGATACACACCAAAACAAAAACCTAACCAAACACACACTTAAACATACACATTACACACAGTTGCACGTCAAGTTATGATGAGAATGTTCCACGTGTGCCGGCGAACCTAAACAAATCAGATCGGAATGATTTTGTTGGATGAAAAAAGTCAGTTGAAGTAGAATGCTGCTAAAGGTGATTGCAGACAGCGGGAAGTCGTGCGAAAAATATATTTTAACAGTTTTGACCGTCGCAAATGGCTCGTGGAGTAGGCCGATCTTCCGAGAACGCCGGACGGGTATAGCCAGACTGAACAGTAATGTCAGCTGAGCAGTCAAGCCCGTGCCAGCTGCTGTCAGCTAGGGCGGTTGTTAGAAAATCGTTCAATATGATGCGACAACTAAGTGTTAGAAAGTTTATAATCTTTGACATGGTGTCCTAGACAATCAGGCAAATACAATAATACAATACAAAAGAAAAGACTGCTTATTTCGACTTAACGAAAGTCAGGAGAAATCACTGCCGCATAGCGACCTCTATCAACCTTTTGCTTTGAGAAGTGTGCGACGTAAGGTAGTGCTTGGTGCCAATTGTACGTAACAATATCAAAATAATTTCGATGGTTTTGGGTCATTTTTGCCTTCCAAAGCTCAAGCATGGTCAATGGCCGCATACAAGCATCTGTGACTTGTCGCTTATAAGAAGTATCTAGGCTAAATATGGTTGCGTGAGGAAGTCCGTACGCTTTTCAAACACCGACTTGAAATTTTGCCTTGTTCGACCTTCTTTGACCCGATGGTCACGACTTAGGGATATCAAAATCTAAAAAAATGAGTTCACACGAAGCCCCACGTTCTCTGCGAGTTTCGTACCTCTAACGCTCTTAGGTTTTTGAGATCTTAGGAAGCCAGATTTACCTCCTCATCCCAGCACTCTGCATTCCATCGGCCACCAGGCCGCGTAATAAAGAAGCCGGGGGTACCTGACGCTGTGCCAGGTGCATTCTGCACATGAGCTATCCTTAGCATCAGTTTCCCGCGAAATCTGAAGCATGACCGTGTCAGTGGTGCTGCTCCGGGTGCAAGACCAAACCAGCTGAGGGGCTCAGTCGCAAGGCATAAATATAGAGGTGTTTGTACACATTTTGCAAGAGGATCCTGAATTCCACCAGATAATCTGTCATCCTATGAAATTAATCGTCTATCTTGGAAGATCCTCTTGGAAAATGGGATAATGCGCCCTGGATCGTACAGTAATTCGTCGGCATTTTTTCTATTTCCCGATTCGACTCTACTCGGGTTCGATTTCCCATGGTACACGCCCTTCCTGCCAGGGTGAGAGGCAGGCGACGCTCCACAGCCTCAGCAGCTGACTGCATCTATAATATCGTCCACTCTCACAGCCCGACCAAACACTAAGTCAGGTGTTACCGTGAGTATCTGCCCAATACTTCAGTAATAACAAAAGCAATAATACAACGTCCGAGGCGTCCGAACACGTCGCGCCCCCGCCACGCGCGACCTCGTCGAGGCCAACTCTCTCGCGCAGCCGCCACTTGCCTGGCGCATAGGCTCCCTAAACAACTGCCATACACCACAGCATCGTAAAGGTCCAATGACGGCGGTGACGTCGGCATTTTTTTTTTGTAATTGGACCCCAGTTCCAGTGAAAATGATCTAGATTCAGGGATACATGTCTTTCATCCATGCGTAATGTCGTAATCTATGACATCTATAAAAAGCAAGCGGCATTTCGTATTCACCAACTCGGCAGCGGTAAATTATACAGGAATGGCTATAACGCGACGCGGCGGGGTGTGTGGTTTCTCTCCGCAATTCGTCGTAAGTAACCGGTCGCACATAAACATTTGTACCGAGTAAGCAAACGCTCGTGCTGAATGCCGTGTCCATGTCCAAATGTTGAGTGACGTGCTGCTGCTGATATTCCGAACATCACTGTTTGTTACAGCGGATGGCCCAGCATTGACTTGGAAGGGATAACTAATCCGTTAATCACTTTATTGCTGCGTGATTCTTTTGGACCTGGACTCGTTTTAGAGATGCTCCAACTCATCCTGAGATCCCGGATATAATATACAGGTTCTTTCATCAGCAACCTCAAATCGGTGACGGATCCAGAGGGGAGGGAAGCACAG